ACATAGAAGACCCTCAAAAATCAGTAACCATTATATTATTCTTTTTCATGTCTCTGAAGTTTGGTTTCATAATCTTCAAAGGGTTTCAGTCAGTGTCCCTTTCTGCCAAATCCATGGCTGAATTTGTCTTGCCTGCACCCAACATTGATACCTCTCACTTCCTGGTTTACCCTGCCATGCCCAAATTCTTTTTTAAATGCCGCCTCCACACCTTTGTTCATGCTGTTCCTTCCACCTAAAATACCCTAAATGTCACTACATACCTTTTCTCAGGTGTATCGGATATGCCTGGCTCTTACATCTGCCATCATGAATCTTTACAACTCCTGTTAGTATTTCCATTGTCATTTTATAATGAAGAAACCAAGGATCTGAAGGTTAAATAACTGACCCCAAATCATAGCTATTAAGAGGCTGGAGCCAAGATCCAAGATTCAAAACAGGTGTTTTTGACTAAAAAATCTCAGCATTTCTCACATCACTCCCCACACCCCATCTTACCAATCTTGTTGATTCAAGGCCCAGTTCAGGGGCACTAGCCTTCCCTAGTACACCTAGTCAAGTATTCTCTTTTCTGATCCCTTGGCTCCTCCTGTATCAGGATCCAAAGGCCTCTCTACCCTCCTCCAGCCCCCAAGCTCCTTAAGGGCAGGGCCAGATCAAACCCACCCTCCACCTCCCCATTTCTGCTTCCTGCTGCCACCATGCTCTTTCACCATGATGGAGGTGCTCAATTAATACTTGCTGTATTGATCTGCCCCTAAAAGGCCAATATGGACATCCCCAGCCTAAAAAGCAACAATCTTAGGGGGAGTATTACCACCAGATCCTGCTGTGCCCTTAGCTCTGCGTTCTGCTTGGCTTTGGAGTCGGAAAGAGGCAACCTGGGGAACCTTGATGTGCCCTGCTGAGTAAAACCTGTACAAAAAGGCAACAGGTGCACAGAGGAATACTGATAATAACAAAAAGTAACATTTATTAAACTTTTACCATGTGCTAAGGAAAACAGATACAATGCAGGAAGTGAACTCAGAGCAGGGAGGCAGAAAGACACCAGATCAGGAAGAGTTTTGTAAACCACCCACAAGACTATCCTGAGGAGTGGGATGTTGGGGAGGTACACAGGGGTGGTGAGGTGACAGAATCGGATCTGTTTGGAAGGAGCCCCCTGGGGTTCATGTAAAAACTCTCCCCATGAGCCTTCTGGGAAATAAAGAACTAGAAAAGACAGAAACAATTGCACTCCCTGGTTTCTGAACCAACCTTTGGTGGATGGGAAGCTGATGCTTTTGGTAGAGGAAACCAAGAATTCCAGACCGGGCCCCTGGAGTGAGGGGCATCAGGAGAGTGGGTGTTGCACCCAATTCCCTTCAGAAGGACTAGAGACTGTATGAGAAGCAGTTAGTGCAGAAGGAAAAAAGCTACTAATAAGCATAATAATTTGGAGTTAGGAGCCCTGGGTCAAGTCTGAATATTATCACTAACTAGCTGTTTGAGTTTACTCCTAATCTGTGAAGTAGGAGAAAACAATTCCATTCTGTCTGTCCTCAAGAGTATCAAATAAAATTGAAAGGTATAATACCATAGGTAAATTTTAGGTGTGTCTTTTTCTCAAAAAGCAACTGACCTCTGAATTGTCTACTTCCTGCTTCACACCCCTGCCCCTTGTCTCCCTGCTCAGCTTTCTACAACAGAGTCCAGCCCTAGTAGGGCTGGGTGTGAGGGGCAGCCTGGGGAGACTCATCCTCCATCACAAATTCTAGGGCTTATCCTCCTCCTCAGGCTGGAAATGAACTTTCACCTTATTGGGGGAGGGGCCTTCTCTCGTTCCCTCCCCAGGTTATTACCGCAGCACTGGAGGGTTAGCAACTTTACCCTAGGACCCCATGCCCCTCCCAAGTCACTGAGGAGTCTTGGATCAACCCAGGAACGCTTAACTCAATAGCTGGCGCTGAAACAAGTAGCGGTTCTCCAGCCGTCTTCACATTAAAATCACCTGAGGAGCTGCTCAATAATACCGAGGCCCAGACCTCACCCCTGACCAATTAAATCGGAATTTCTAGGGATTGGGACGCGCATTTAAGTTCTTCTAAAGCTTCCCAAGTGTTTCTACTAGGCCACGAGGGTTAAGAGCCATTAAATTAATGAAACAGATTACGGCCTGATGGGTTAATGAAATGGACCCCAGCCCCCCAAGGAACCCTTCGTCAAGGATTCCACCGCCGCCCCTTGACCCCAAGCTTCTCTCTCTCACCCTAACCCAAGGATTCTCCCACCCAGACCCTGATTACCTTAGGGACCCCGCAGGCAGCCCGCAGGACGTCCAGAGCGGACAGTATTTCTGTCCCCCTCCATTCTGTCCTTTGGATCTAAGTGGCCCCCAGTCAGGCCCGCTCCTGTCCCGATTCCCGGCCGCGGGCCAGCAAGCACCTCACAGCAATTGAGGCAGGCGAAGCCTACTCCTTCGGCCGCTGGGAGCCAGGTGCAAGCCAGTGCGTCTGCGCGCACGCCGCTGGGGGTTTCCCTAGCCTTTCCCTCCGCCCCCGCCCAGCAATTGGCTCCGTGCGGCTCTCGGAACAGCCACCCCGGCAGGTGCCCGTGCACGAGGCTGCCACCGCCATATTTGTCATGGGCGCTTGCCCTTAGGACCAAAAAGACCACGTGGAAGGGGGCATAGTACCTGGATTCCTGACCTGCTCACCCCGCCCTCTCTCCTTTAATCTCCACGAACGAGTAATGTCATTTCAGTATAAATCAACAAGGTTTTTCTGAGCGTCCTCTTCTTCATCCTTCCTTAGTATCATGTCAGAGAATGAAGAGGGCTAGCACCTTCTTTCAAGCCCTGTAGTCTCTGACTGGATGAACAACTGAAGCAGATAAGATGGCGGTGGCATCACTGGGGACTCCCTGCTGCTGGACTGTCCCCTCAAGAGTGGACAGGCCCAGCTTGAGCAGTGGATACCACGGCTCAGGCCACAGCAACCATGCCCCCCAACCTCCTATTAACAATAATAAAGTATAAGGAGTACTGAGCTCTCAGTATGTGCTCTGTGTTAAACAGTCTACATGCATTATTTTGTTGAGTCCTCACATCATTCCTACAAGGTAAGTGCTATTATCCCCATTTTACAGATTAGGCAACTGAGGTTAAGAGAGATTCAATGACTTTCACACAATAAACAAGAGTCCCTGGACCATGGGACAGATAGATACACACTCTCTCCTTGAAATCCCTCCCTTGGCTTCCAACCTCTCTGATCTAGATACCACCACATTTTTCCTTATACTAATAACTCCTCTGTTCCCTTCACTGGGGCACTTTCTCCCAGGGCTCTCTAAAGGTGGTGGGAGAGTCCCCCAAGTTTCCATTTACAATACTCTTTACATTTATTCAAACTTGCCAGGCCATTGGCTATATGGGGTAAAAAGGACTTCAAAAACAACATTGCTGCCCTCAAAAGGCATTAAGTGGAACCTAACAAATTGGCAGCCATGATGATACAGGCCAATAGTGATATGGGCCAGGGTAGCAGCTATTCTGTTACTCACCTGTCTTTCCCTTCATGACTATCTGTGTTTTTTATATGTGCATACACACACACACACACACACACGTTATGCAGCAGTAAAACAGTATTACTCCTTTAGGGTTCCCGGACCTGGAGTATGAGAGGAGGGTGGGTCTTCCCACACACACACCAGGGTGTCCAAGAATTCAAGTCAATTCTGACATACCTGCTTGGAATTAGCACTGGATTCCCCACATTAAGGGCTCTGTCCTACAAGACTGCCCCTCCACCCCCACTCGAGACACCCATCACAAGCCCCAGGCAGTTCCCTGTGTTTCTGACCTCCCGGCTACATATTGGAGGTTCCCATGACTTCCTCCTTAGGTTCGAATAATTTGCTAGAGGCATTCACAGTACGCAAGTAAACACTTGCTGTTTACCAGTTTAACAAAGGATACTGTAAAGGATACAATTTAACAACCAGATGAAGAGATACATAGAGCAAAGTCCCAAATAAAGGAACTTCTATCCTCCTGGAGCGTTGGGCAAGAGTGGAAGCTTGCTCCGACAGAGAAGCAGGATCCAAGAGAAGAGTAAACGCTGCTGGGGGTTTTTTGTGAGGGCTTCGTTGCATAGTCACGACCGACCAAATCATTGGCCATTGGCTGATTCAACCTCCAGCCTGCCCTGAAGTCTCTCATTAACATGATAAGACACCCATTTCACCTTTAAGACTCTGCAGTGTCTTCAGGAACTATGGATGAAGACCAAATATACCTGGGAAATATCTTTTTGGTCATATGAACAACCAAATATGTCTTTCTTATAACTCATTAATATCACGCTACCCCACCTCCCATCTCCAGCCTGAATATAACACTGCCTGCTGGACAGCTCCCCAAATGTCCACCTGAACTCACCATTCCCTCAACTTCCAGTCACCCACTAATGAGTTTTATCTCTAAGATTACTTTGACTACCCACCCAGGTAACCAAGCCAAAAACATGTGCACCCACCTCTACACCCTCCCTCTCCATCCAGGTGGTCACAGTCCAGGTGAATCTGCTCCCATCTCTCTTTTCCATATCCTGGCTCCTGTTTTGGTTGTCAGTTTTCCTGGGGTAATGTGAGAACCTCCTCCAAGACTAACTTCCAGCATTTCTCACCAATCTACCATCTACTTTGCCTACAAGAGAGCCTCTGATCATGGGATTCACTGATCAAAAATTACTCAGGTTGCTTTATTTTGAAAATTTTCATAATAAAATGCTGGAGGAAACATAATCAAGAGTGTATTGTTGCAAGCAACAGAAGATTCCATCCCATAGTCTAATGATCCAAACATTTAATTTTCTAAAGATTTAGGGTGATGGTGCTTTGTAATGTAATTTTGCAAATAGCCATTTCATTATGTCTTCTGTAGTTAAATTTATATGAAGAACATACAACTGGTTATGTGTAATAACAACAAAAAAAGACTCCACTCAAACTAGATTAAGCAAGAAAAGAATTTATTGAAGGGAGAGAGATTTGCATAAAGGTGGCCACAAGACACAAAGTTTCAGTTAAAAGGTAAATAACTATTGGGATGTAATGTATAACATAATGACTAGAGTTAATGCTGCCTGGTATATTTTACAGTTGTTACAAGAGAAAATCTTAAGTCTCATCACAAGGAAAAAAGTTTTTTCTTTTTTGTATCTGAAATGATGGACGTTAACTAAACTAATTCTGGTAGTCATTTCACGAACATGTAAGACAAATCATTATGCTGTACACCTTAAACTTATACAATGGTGTAGTGGTATATGTCAACTATACCTGAGTAAAACTGTAAGAAAAAAGGAATTTATTGGCTTGCATAAGTTTAAAGTCCAGGATTCAAACCATGTCACCAGGGCCCAATTTCTGTCCCTTGGCTCCAATTCCGTAGCTCCATGCCTTCTCTCTCCACTCAGCCTGCATTGTTTCAGATTTCTGTCCAGAGAGAGAACACTTCTCCACCAAACAAGTGAACAAAGTCTGGGTTTGGCCCCATTGGCCAAGTTGAGTCACATGACTACCCTAAACCCATCACTATGGCCAGAGGAAGGTCAGTGCTGATTGGCTTAGTCCTAAATCACCCACAATTTAAGGATGGAATAGAGCCAACTTTCCAAGAACCACTTTACTAGATGAGGAGTGGGACCCAAAAAGTCTGTGGGCTGTTACTGGAATTGGTGTAATGAATACAGAGAAACTCATAGCTTGACCCTTATTTTTCTCATTGGGCCTCTAAACTCCTTCCCCAGAACCAACAGGCTTTCAGCAAGCATGTAGGGGCCAATATTAAAATACAAACTTCTCACCCTCCCAGGCTCCAACGTGAGTTTGTTCTCACACTCTCTCCACCTCCCACCAGGTGTGACCAGATCTCCATGTGGGAGCAGGTGGAGAAACTGGCCACTCTCACAGGGCCCATCATTGAACTCCAGGCTGAGGTGAGGTCGATCTGTAGGTAGTCTTGGACATTCCTCAGGTGCTGGGATTGGAGAGTGGCAGTTTTAGGTAAGAGTAGGGAGATACATTAATTTCCCATTAGTGCTGTAACAAATTGCCACAAACTTAGTAGCTTAAAATAATACAAACTTATTATCTTATAGTTCTGGAGGTTAGAAGTGTGTCTCACTAAAATCAGGATGTTGGTAGGGCTGCATTCCTTTCTAGGTCTAGGAAAGAACCCATTTCCTTGCCTTTTCCAGCAGAGGCTGCCTGCATTCCTTGGTTCATGACTCCCTTCCATCTTCAAAGACAGCAAAGGCTGGTTGACTCTTTCTCATAATCACATCTCTCCAACTCTGACTCTTCTGCCTTCCTCATCCATGTTTAAGGACCCCTATGATTACACTGGATCCACCAGATAATCCAGGATAATCTCCTTATTTTAAGGACAGCTAATTAACCACTTTCCCACCATCTGGAACCTTAATTCCCCTTTGCCATGTAGCATAACATATCCACAGGTTCACAGGGATTGGGCAGTGGACATCTTGGGGGTAGGAGGCCTCCCCTAACAAAGGCTGCTGTGTCCTGGAACCAGCGCTTAAGAGTGGACAGAGGGTGAGGCTGCTGGAACCAGTGCTTAGAGGAGACAGAGGGAGTTGTTGGGGAGGGAGTGTTAGGCAGATACCCTACCCCAGTCCTGGTAGCTGTCCTCATTAGGCCACTGGCCCAAGGTAGACTTGGGAGAGCAGCTCAGTCAGGAATAAAGAAACATGACATCACCAGTATGAGTATAGGAGATCTTCTCAGAGGGTAGCTGAGTTTTGAGGAATGCTGAGAAACTAGAATTTGTGGGGGTTACCGGTGATGCTGCGTTAGTTGGCAGACAAGGAGGGAAAAGTGTGACAGCAAGGCAGCCCAGCAGCGGGGAGAGGCCATCAGTTTTAATATACAGGAGATGACTTAAGTTCAGACAGGGCTTACCTCCATTTGGATGAAGCAATCTTTCTTGCTTCACCCAAGTAGCCTCTGAGCTTTGACATCAGTTGAACTGGGTTCAAATTCCACTGTGCCAGTTACAGACTGTAGGAACCTAAAAAAGTGGCCTAACTTCTCTGAGCCTCTGGTTCCTTATCTATTAAATGAGAATGATATCACCATGTTCTTAACATGGCTATTAGGAATTATTTCTCATGTAACATTCTAAAGGGGAGGCCTGTGGGATAGTCTGAATGAAGCCTCAGCATGGACTGGTGATATGGCTAATACTAAGAACATGAGGCTTGAGACAGACATGGGGTTGAATTTTGCCCATACCATAACAGGTTGTGTGAGTTTGGGCAAATACTTAAGCTACATAAGCCCCAGTCGTAGAATACATTTGTTGCATACCAAATCTGAGGCAAGCAGCTTTCTGCTATGTAAAGTGTAAAATATTAGTACCTCCTTCCTAGGGTTGATGTAAACTTAAAGTCAGAAGATGCTCATAAGCAACCTGATTTAGTGCTTGGTCTGCAGGCACTTCACTCAAGTATTAGAATAACCCAACCCATTTGGAGGGGGTAAGAAAATGGAGTTTGGAAAACTGGTAACTTGATCGGAAGGGGTGTCGGGATGCCTTAAGTGATGTTGTGGTGAGGGCATCCTTGAGCACAGGACTCACTGCCTAGGTGAGCAGCAGGCTCACCTAGTGTAGACACAGGCTGGCTGGCTCCTGGCCAGCTCAGGATGTTTCCTTTTGCCTGGAAACCAGGAGGTGTGGCTGACGCAGGGTATGGAGGGGAGCAGCTCAACTAAAAAGCGGTGGCAGATTGGAGTCCTGCTCTGGACCTCTGTGGCTGCACCAAATGCCGGGACCCAGGTCCTCTGGGCTGAAGGAGACAAGTGAGTGGGGAGTTACCTGGGAAGTGCATTTCTGGGTTGAGGGCTTGAAAAGGCCTTGAGTCCTTAAAGCCTGGTGGGAGCCTGGGATTAGGGCCCAGCCCTAGGACAAGAGAGGTGGGAGCTGAATGTTTTAGGAATAGTTCCGCAAAGCTATGAGGCACGCATGCGCGGTAAGGGCTCCTGCTGTGAACCAGCGCCCTCTGAGTTATCAGGACCCAGGGACAGACGGTGGAGATAAGATCGAAGTGTATCGCACACACCCTCACCACAGGACTGGACCAGGACCAGACCCCTGTAAAAATGCCCGCCGCCTGAGCTTCAGACCATGTACTCATACAGTTGCCTGGCGCCCGGGGAGGGCGTCTGGCCTCCGCTGCAGGCCCTCACCTACACCTACCTGCCCGCCCCTCTGCTGCTGCCCCCCATCCAGGCTCACAACTTCTGCAGCCGGCCCCCGTGCCTAAGCGCAGGCGAGTGGGCGGCTCAGCGGGAATATCACAGCTTCCACGGCCCAAGCGCGCTCCTAGCGCTCGCGCCGCCCTTGTGGGCCTTCCCGCAGGCCCACGCCACGGCCCTGAGCCAACCATTTCCCGCTCCCGGCTACCTGGGGCCGTCGCTGCAGTCGCCCGCGGCGGGGACGGCGGCGGCCCAGAGCTGGGAATCCTGGTCAGAGGGCTGCAGCCTGCAGGCGGAGCTGCGCTGGGGCCGCGTGGAGCGCGCGCGAGGCCCGCGCCTGGAGCTGCCAGACTTCGTGCTGCGGGAGCTGCGGCGCGTCTACGGCACGTACCCGCGCACCGACGTGCGCGTCACCTACAGCGGCGGCGAGTTCCTGCTTCAGGCAGAGCCGCGCGTCCTCGAGCCCGAATACCGCGTGAAAAGGCGTGTGCTCCGCCCTCCCGCCAGCAGCTGCAGTGGCCACAGCAGCCCCACCCGGGAAGCGCGCGGTCGCCGGAAGAAGAGGACAGGCCTGAGCTGAGGGCGCCGCGGAGCCCAGCGGCCGGCCCGGGTGAGCACGCGCGGCCCTCCTCCCCTGCGCCTGCCGCCAGCCTGCGTGAAGGGAGACGTCGGCTGTGTGCCGGCGCTGGGTGCACCTCTCTCCTGGATTTGCTTTTTTTACCAAAATTGCCCGCCGCCCACCTCGTGCACCTTCCTATTTCTCTCCTGTTACTGCTGGGGTGGGGGGCCAGAGCGAGAAGGGATAAAGGGCATCTCGGTAGGTGTCCCGTTACTTTTTCCTTCCGCTTAGGCTTGGCATGCCTGGGTGTGGAGTGGAAGAACGGCCCGGACCCTTCCCCGCCCACCCCCCACCTCTTTCTCCTCCTCCTCCCCATCTTCTTCCCATTAGAAGGATGCCCTGCAGTAAGACCCCCACCTTTCACTTTTTCCTCTTCTCGCCCTTGGCAAAGCTCCTCGAACTACCCAAGCTGAGAGCCCACTTATCCCCAGCTTGCAAAGGTAAATAAATGAGTAAAGTTAAGTGTATGCTGCGAGATCACTTTTATGTTTGTGAGTGCGGGTGTCATCGTCTGTGTAATGTGAGCCGTACTTCGCTGCCTGGGGTACAAGTTGGGGGGCGGGGGTGGCTAGTGTGGAGCTCCCCTCTTCACCAGCTCCTCCAGTGTGCAAGAGCACACCCTCCGACTCCTGCGGCCCACGACCCCCAGAGAGATACTGATAGCATAAGCTCCTATGCTGAAGCATGGGTGGTAGTTATGGCTGAGGAAGGGATGCCTAAGACATAAATTTAGGGCTGGCTCTGACAATTTTTAGTCAAGTAAGGAGGTTTTCTGAGCCTCAGTTTATCTGTAAGGGAAGCATAAAACCAATCCAGCCTATACCTAGAAAATTTACAAGCATTGAAATTTAAGAGGAATGTCACTTCTTGTCTCCTGATTCTTGCTAAAAGTCTTTAATAGACTGAATTTGCAATATTCTAGGCGTTTGCTAGAAGGTTAGGCCACACATCCAGTGTTTACTACTATGGGTCTAGCCAGCTCACCAGACGTGATGCCCAGGCTGTCTTAAGTTTGGCTCCTTGCGGAATTGCTTTCATTGAACTTCCATTTGTAGCTGGCCAACAGCTACCTTAGTATACAGGTGTGTTATTGAAGCTGTATACCACTTGATTGAACACTGCTGTATTTATGAGTATTTGGAGAAATTCTCTCAAACCTTAACACTTGGAAAATATGTTTCTCCTGTTGTGTGGTTTGCTTTTATCTTTGAAGCACCAAGGACTTCATAAATGATCATATTTTTCCGTTTTCCCTGGTTGCTAGGGAGTTCAGCCAGATTTTCTTGGCATCTTTTGTGTAAAGCCTGGACCTAAACTGCTATCCCCCAGTTTAATATTACTTTCTTTTCCTTTAAAAAAAAATAGGGAGATGGTATGATGTGATGGGTCTGCTGTGTGACCTTAGGTGAATTACTTAATGCCCCTGAGACAATGTTCTCAATGCAAATGGAGATGGTGGTATTAAGACCTGTCTCTATAAGGTAATTGAGAAAACGCCATAAAATCCTGCACTCAAAATGTTTCAGTACCTGGCATGTACTAAGTGCTCAAATGTTAGCATTTGTTAAAAAACAAAAAAAGTTTGCAATACACAAACACATAAAATAGGAAGTTAAAATCTTTTCTAATATCCTTCCCCTAAGAGATGATCGCTGGAGTCTATTATTTTTCTTATGTTATTCGGTGTACATAGTTATTAACTGTATAACAGGAATTTCACTGTTTTGCCTGTTGCATTTTAAATTCAGTGTATCTTAGACATCATTCCATGGCAGTGCATATAGAGCTACCTCTTTCTTTAACAGCCACCCAATATTCTACAGCATTTGGATTCTTTCCAATTTTTAGCTATTAAACTCTATCCAAAAAGTTTCTTGAGTGCCTATCATTTGCCAGGAACTGTTTTAGGCCCTGGGGATTCAGTAGTGATTGAGACTGCCCTGGCATGCTCTGCCCTTAGGGAGCTTGCATTTTAATGAGGAGATCTGGGGATAGCACAACAGGCAAATAGATAAAGGGAAGTTATACGTTTTACCACAGGAATAAGGCTGACAGAAAATTTGAGTGGGATAGCTGAACTTAACTTGAAATAAGGTGTTCAGGGAAAGCTTCTCAGAGGAAGTGACATTAAAGCCAAGAATGTGAAGAAGTTAGCTTTGTCAAGAGAACTGTAAGGGAGAAGCCAGGCAGAGGCCATGTGGGTGCAACATCCCTAAGGAGTGAAAATTATCTTCCTTTACTCAGCAGGCAATTGAGAGCCCACAATATGTCAGGCAGTATTCTAGGCACTGGGGCTACAGAAGAAGACTGAACAAGTCCCGCCCTCACACTTTAGGGGTGTAACGTAGAGAAGGAGATGGACAACATGTGAATGGGTGAATAGGCGATGCAACGTCAGATAGTGATAAATGCTGGGGTGCTGTTTTCAATAGGTTGGTTAGGGAAGACATCTCTGAAGAGGTAACTGTAAGGTGAAGACCCAGTAAAGACCTTTACAAGCCATTTGAATACCTGGGAGAGAAAAGCAGGTACAAAAACCCTGGAGAGAGGCTGGAGTATCCTTGCCCTATGAGCCAAGGGAAAGTGTTAGTTAATGAGGTTAGGGACTGAGCCAGATCCTGTGGGACCTTGAAGCCATGTTAAGAATTTTTTATTTTATTTTTGGGGTTTGGAGGGCAATGAGCAGGGAAGAATGTGATCAGATTTTTTTTAAATCTTGATGCTGTGTGGAAAAGAGATTGTAGAGGAGCCATTGTGGAAATAGGGAGGCCAGTTAGAAGGCTTTTGAAGTAACACAGGCAAAACAAGATGACAGCTTGGTCTTATTTGGAAGTAATGAAGTTGATGAGAAAACAAATGTTCTTGAATATGCATCTTCGTTCACATATAAAAGTCTTAGAATTAGAAATTGAAACACTGAGCAATGATACCGTACTAGCAACCAGTGAAGCTACTAGCCATCTAGATCTTTGGTTCAAAATTCCATTCTCCACTAAAAGGAGCCAGGCCCCTGGGAAAATAGCTGATTCAAAGGCCAAGGTGGGGAAGGTATAAGATTTGGCACAAGATTTGTACAAGCTTGGAACAACTTGTGTCAGAAAATAAAGGACTGCTTAAAAATGTCAAAAGAACAAAGGAGCCAGCTTGAAGGGACTTCCACTGGCCAAATCAGAGACAATTTAAGGATCAAAATAATTAATCACAGTAGCAGATTATATAACCAACCGAATAAAATAAAGACCCCTAAGTCCAAACTAATACTAAATAAATAAATATGAAAAGAAAGCTACTTACAGTAGAAGGAATAATGAAACCAGAAAATTACCAGTCCCAATCATCATAATAATAATTGATTCAGGTGAAAATTATTCATTAATAATAAACCTAATGGGTGAAAGTTTGATGAGAAACAAGATATTTACATAGTTTCAAAGTATGTTCCAATAAGATACTTATTAATTACAAAGTAAAAAGTAGTAACCTAATAGTAGAGTAGGGAAAACTGATGAATACCACTTTAACCCCACTGCAATGGCCCATCTTACGAATAAAGTCTTACCACCTTTAACAAGTGTTTTGAAAATTTTACTTTAATTCAGCAGCGATGCATAATCATGAGGAAACATCAGATAATAAACTGAGAGACAATCCCACTAATCTTTATTGTTCAAAAATGTCAATGTCATAATCAAAGACAAAACAAAACAAAGCAGAAACTATTTCAGGTCAAAGGAGACTAAAGAGACATGAAAACTAAATACAATGCATGATATGGTTTTGAATCTTGGACCAGAAAGAAAGTTGTTATGAAGGATATTATTGGGACAAGTAGTAAGATTTGATTAAGGGCTATAAATTTGAGAAAGCAACATGGCAAAAGGTTAACAGTTGGTGAATCTGGTAGAAGAGTAAGCAAGAGTTCTTTGCACTATTCTGGCAACTCTTCTGTAAGTTTGGTTTTTAAAAATAAAAACCATAATAAGTAAATTGAATCTCTGGGTCCAAAAGGACACACATTTAAAGTGTACTACAAATCTCTGTCACAAAATTTATGTTTTAATGCTTGGAGAATTGTCTGCATGCTGGTAAGACTCCTCAAATCCTTTCCTGAAACAAGGCAGGTTTACAAATGTGGATAAAATTGTAATATTTCTAGAATATCTCATCTGGCTTTAGTATATCTGCATATCAATAGGCATTCAGAGGTGGAAAGATGTATGGCTTTAGTACATATGCATCATTCCTCAGGGGTGGAGAGAAGTTCATCTCCATATCAATGGGTAATTACCTGGGCAATGGAGGGCTTGTCTGTACCTGAGAGGTGAGGGGGAGGGCCAGTTTTGCTTCTGCTGGAGCAGGAGAGAGAGAAGGCCCTGGACTGCAATTAGTAAGCAATAAACAGGTTTTAAACTTTATTTCTCCCTTTGACTGATTTTGGTTTTTAGAGGTATTTTGCCACGGGGTTTCCTCTCCCCAGACTTAGAACAGGTCACACCCACTAAGGTGTGTTCTGTGTCCCCTATCCCTCAGTCCTCTCTGGGCCAGACCCATGAAGTTCTCTCAACTTCTCTCACCTCTGAGAATCTGCATTACTCATAGACCTTCCTCCCCAAAGTTTCTGCTTATGCCCAGGAAATGTCCATAGACAGCACACAAGTTTACCCCTATCCCCCAGCTCCAGTGAGGGAGGAGGGTTCCTGATTACAGGCTTTTTGAAGGAGGTGCTGCCATTCAGCTCCATCCAGTTTATACACTCCAAACCCCAGTGCTTGCTCCAGGCCCTCTGGATGTAAGGGAGTCCTCCAAGAAGCCTAAAAGTTTCTTTATTTAATCTTTTGTTTGAACTTAACCCTTGGAAGCTTAGATCTCACAAAACATCTGGGCTGCCAGGGACCTTGCTGTTCACCTGGTCCAACCCACTCAATTTACATTATGCTGGAAAACCAAGGCCAGAGAGGAGGACTCACTTAAGGTCACACAGTAGGTGGGAATCCAGACCTCCTAGATCCCAGCAGGGCTTGGGCCCCCAAACCCTGTTCCTGATTGCCTCCTCCTCCTGGCCTTGACCTAGTCTTACCCAACCCTGTCATCTGATCTGGAGCCCTTCATTCAGTAAACCCTTACTGATCAGTGTTAAGCAGTATTCTACCTCCCAACTGGGCAGCTCACCTTCTACTTAAGGGAATATAGTAAGAGTCATAACAACCTCAGACACTTAACTGAAAAGTTACTATGTTCAGGCACTGTGCTAAAAGCCTAGTAAAAAAAAAAACTCCTTTAATCTTTGTAAGATCTTGATGTGGATATAATTATTATTCCCCTTTACAGATAAGGAAACTGAGGTCTAAAAAGGTTACTCAAAGTCACACTGTAACGGAGTGCAGAGAGCATCAAGAGTCAGGAAAAAGAACTAATGACACTTAACCTGACTGCCTAGAGCGATAGCCACCCAGTCTTTTCTTGTGTAAATTACCGGAGGCTTCTGAGAAATGTGCCTACCCTAAGTTAGATAACTAGAAGTGGGCAACAGCCTGGGAACGCCTGGGGATGTAACCCCTGATAAGTCACATAGACATGCTTGGGTAAGCAAGAGATAACAATTGAAGCGGGCAGGCAACTGGCGGATTCCCTAAAAAGGTTACAATGTTTCCCATTAGTTACAATATAGAGTGTGTTTTAAACCTATTAATTGTAGAACTGCGTGACCTTTAGTGTAACAGCTGTGAAGATCCTATATAATCAGTACCCAAAGTTGCTTCGGGGTCGGCAGCTCGGACTCGGCCTGCGTGTCAGGGGAGGTGCTGTCGACCCCAGCTTGCTGGCTGAATAAAGACTTTGCTTGGATTTTCATATCCGTGTCCGTGTGTCTTGTTCTCTGGGAAACCCCGGAGTCCTAGACCCTAACAACACATGGAGAGGAGAATACACCTCAGAAATTTGACTATAACCTTAATCTCTTGGTCAAATTGCCTCCTCCTGCATGAGACACATTCTACAAAATGTAAGGAACATTTGTTAAACAGTTACTATGTGCAGAACACTGGATTAAACATGAATCAAGGGCTCATGAATCAAGCCCTACGGGAAAGAAGTGTCGAGGATATGCAGGAGATCAGGTGCACCATTGGGGAGTTGAGACTTCTTGGACGAGACATCTGAGAGAGTCTTTGAAGGATGTATAGGATTCCAACAGATAGTGATGGGAAAGAGGTATC